TTGAATTTAACAGACACATGTTGATTTTTCTTTTGTTGTTAATATTATATTGCGATATAAGACATAATTTCATAATTAACATATTCATTAAGAAAATCATAATTTGGAGACATTTGCACATAGTTGTGGCCTGTGGACAAATTTTTGTAGCATTGTATGTTTTTGTTATGTTTTGAGTTTTTTTAAGGTTTTTTAAAATGTTATTCAATGTTAACATTTCTGCAGCATGGTTAAAAACAGAATCGATCTCTTTCTTCCAGGTTGGGTTTTATCACTTTGCTCACTCGTTTGTTAGAGGGAACTGGAGAAACGAAGCAGAGAGCTCTTTTGCTCTTCTCACTAAATCTTGCCATGACATTGATCTCATACATCACTGGGCTGGAGGGCGCAGGTATATCATTAGACAGTAGTCAGTGATTAAACTCAAGGCTCAATGTTCAAAAGTAAGATTTTCTTTCTCTTTTATTTTGGCCTAAAACAGCTAGAAAACTACATGTTTACCCCAATTTTGTTGGACTAGAGGTAAATGGGGATGTTTTTTTTGTGTAGTTTGATTATTTACTCTGGCAGTTTGTTCTTGGCAGGTGTGTGAAAGTGTCATCATTTGGATCCGTCAGCCACTTCAATAAAGACAACAAGGTATGTTGTCTGTTCAGTGATCAAATGAAGATAATCAGTAGCCATGATGGGTAGAAATCTCTGTACTAAGCATGAATATAAAATGTGACGTTACTAGTTTTGTGTCAGCCAGCAGGGGCTGCAGATCGCTGCCTTAACTGTTCAGTAGAAAAAGACTGCCCGTACTCAGCATGCAAAATCTACTTGGACAGTGTGAAGAAGGTAAAAATTTCACCAATTTACATTCATCATTTATGTACTTTTTTTATATACTTCTTATAAATAATTTTTGTGTTTTGTATGTTTGTGTGCTAGGGTCACACTGGCTGGCCAGTATCAGTCATATGCCCCAATTCACTCCCAGACATTGAGTCAGTAACAGAGGCATTGAAGACTGGACCGTATGGCCGCTGTGTCTATGAGTGTGACAATGACGTCTGCAGTAACCAGGTTAGAAAACACTGTGACATCTGCAGCACTGACCCTTTCTGACTCAGTTATGCAGTATTAGGTTCCTATCAGGCATCAAAGATGCATTTAGAATATACAGAATATATTGTACTTCTACCTGCACCACTTTCATTATGTGTACTTTGTTTTTTCTTTAATCTCAACAAACAGTTATCTGCATATGAGTTAAAATAACTTAAACACAGTGAAATTTATTATTTAGTTATTTATTTAGTTATTTTTTAGCACAAGAAGCTTTCTGGTTTCCGCCGTTTTGCAGTTCTATACTGTACCTCTCATATTTAAGCAGGCTTTGTTGCAAGCAGGAATATGGTGTGTGTGAGACTAAAAGACAGGTTGAATTTGGAGGACTGTAATTACAGAACCATTAGTTGTTGCTGAGATGAGTTTTTGTTTTGTAGTTATGTGCATTTGCCCAAAATATTGGACATTGTCCCCATAGCTTAAATCAGCTGACTGACATACGAATTCCCAGACTGCACTTTGTTTATTTATTTATTTATTTATTTGGTCTGTGATTCTATCCTTTTATTTCTTTTAACTTTTCTGATCTCCTGAGCAGGTTGTCAACATGGAGTTTGAAGGGGGTGTGACGGCAGCCTTTTCCATGGTGGCATTCACCGAGGAGATTTGTAAGCGAAAAACAACCATTTACGGCAGCAAGGTAGGACTGTAATTAATGTCTCTGGGAAAGATGAGAATGAGAGACTGAAGAAAATCACATAGAAACACATTAATTAGCAAATGAATTATATAAAAGTAAAAGTGTGAATGCTTACAGATACAGCAGGTAAGAAACATTATATATCACAGCACTGTTAATCCTTATAGACCCTGTAACAGTTCGTTCAGCTCATTATGCTCTTTCATCGCCAAACTGTTAGAAGCATGTTATTTACCTCATAGGACAAAGGCACTCTTCTGCATCATAAACAGAACCGCAGACCAAAATCACCCATTCCATAATATGTTGAAATATGGTTTAACAATGATATGTTATTATAATTAGGGATTTCCTGCCTCGTCATACTTTCACGGAAATCTGTGTATTTTCATGTTTTTTTTTTTTATGACCATATGATTTAAAAACTATTATATTTTAGCAATTCCTTATTTGATAAAACTGATTCAGTTGTTTTACTTTACTTTCAATTTTGCTTTGTCCTGTTTTTGAGGGTGTCCAAAGTTTCAATATTCAGACAAAAACCTTTTTGATAAAACCAGTTCGATGAGCTATCATTCATACTACTGATGTGCGGCTGATGAAATGATATCTCCTTGAATCTTTAGTATTTGGATTTGATAAACATAGAGTTAAGTTTGTTACTAAAATTCAGCTCTTTCCTACATAATGAACTGGATCTTCTCAGGGCGAGCTCTCATACAATGGCCACGAGATCCATGTGTTCAACTTCCTGACCCAGAAATCCAGAAAGCACACAGCAGACTATAACACTACCAGGCAGTTCGGTATGAGTGGACACGGTGGAGCAGACTACTGCCTTATGCATGCCTTCATTTCTGCTGTGGCAGTGAGTGCTCATTACTCTTTTTTAAATTTTTTTAAATATCTAGTTTTAGATAAGATTTGTTGTTGCTGTGTTCTACTTCCACTTGAGATTATCTGTATTTGCTTTTCTTGTACCTGTGATGCAGGACTTAAAGGATGCATGTGTCATATCTATGTGTATCTGTTCTGTGATCTGCTCTAATTTTTGTTTTCATATATCTTCATATGCATGCAGAACAATGATCCATCACTGATACGGTCTGGTCCTGTGGAGACACTGCAGAGTCATTTGCTGGTGTTTGAAGCTGAGCGCTCACGACTGGAGAGCAGAGTGCTGCACTGTGGGGACATTAAACAGAGCTAAAAAAAAAATACCTACAACATTTTTTTTTAGCATATTTTGTTATAGCTTCTTAATAAATCAGTCTAGTAATACCTATATTGTTAGTTATTGAACAAAACAATTAAACTTTCTCATTTGTCAATTACTAGATTTATATACACACACTGACATATATAAGGACTTTTTTCTAGTGAAGCAAAGATGTCCTGAGAAAGTATGATGATTAATGACAATGACACTCACTTCCTAAAATGATTACATAACTGATTCATGTCAGAAAAAGAAATATTAATTTCAAGGGACTACCTGGTTTAATAAATGCTAAATAAAATCGGTTTTTAGTCTTGTGTCTTTAGTTTCCACTTTTTTTTTTCTTCCACACACTATCACGCTACAAAACCTAACACTAGTCTTGAGGCAGTAGAACATGGAAAATATGTACTATTTAAAGAGAAAAGTCATCTTGAATTTAATGGCAACCGCACTCCTCAAATTTTGAGACAGTGTGTCACATCCAGTCTTCATCACCTGGACTCTTCTGCTCCATTGTAAGACATGCTGTTTGCCATCGCTTTGCTGAAATGTGAAACCTCTTCCATAAAAAAGATGTTTGGATGAAAGCGTATGATCCTCTAAAACTTGTAATCTTTCTTTTTTTTTTGGTCCCAATAATTTATTACATTTTGACATTAGGACTAATGGAGTACATGAGAGCTCAGTTATTAATGAAAACATGAATTTCACAACTTATCACACCACTTTACAACTGCTCATTGAGGCAAATAGGTAGGGAAATATTGGGTGAATGAATGGGCACAAGCACAGGACTCTGTCAGATCTTTATGTAACAAGAAAGCTTATTTACACAACACCAAGACACTGAAGAAGTCACTTGGATGAGTGATGAAACGTTTCTTCCAATGAAAACGCTACATCCAGATGAACAGAATCAACTTTTGGGGATGCAGAACACCAAGTGCAGTAAAAAGTGATATTTTTTTAATTAAAAGTAATTTTTTTAAATGGAGGCTGTATGATAAAAAAGTATTTATATACTATAAAATGAAAACAAAAAGACATTTTAAAGTGGCACATGGCAGCAGGTTTCTGTGTAACAAAATTATGTTATGATTCCATTGTTGCTATCGTTACCGTATAAAGTAACATAACATATATGAAACATAACAAGGAAAGGTCTTCACCATTTCAATCCAGAGCTTGGAGAGAAATTGACTATCACAGCGGTTGCAAAGCAAGGATTTACTAGCAAGCAGAAATTTGTTGGATTGCAAAACCACTTACCATCGACTGACAGCATGGGAAAAGTAAGTGCATGAATAAATGAATGAATAAGTTCTTCAAGTCATTTGTTTTTGAATCAGCTGTTTAAACTTGAAATTCATATTTGCAAATCTAAAGATTTTACAATTTATTTTTACATTCCTGCATTTTTTCTGTGCAGTCCTGTGAAATGAAACCTTTTGAATCACTGTTTTGTTGTAACAAGAGTAAAAAGCATTTTTTAGTTATTGTATTTATTTTGAACATTTAAAGCAGTTTGTGGTAAATATAACAGACACTATGTCACGGTCCTCGGTCGGTGACCCAGTATTTTGTGTTTTGTATTATTATTGTTATGAATTGAACTTAAATTTGTTATGATTTTTCATAGCTAGTCTCTTGGTTTTTGTTTCTGTATTTCTAGTTCTGTAAGTTCTTTAGCATCTCCTTATTTCCAGTCTTTAGGTTTTGTTAATGTGTCTTCCCTCTGTTCACTATCTTGTCTACTCTGTGCCTTGCTGTGGGACACCAAGGTCTCAATGTCAAGTCCGCATCACTTTGTTATGCTTCCTGTTTTACTTTGACTGTCTACACCCTTTATCAATGTATTCTACTTTGTCTCATTATGTCTGATTTGTCCCAGCTGTGTTTCCACCTGTTCCCCATCCTCTCGTTATCCTGCCTGTGTATTTTAGTCCTCAGTCTTCCCTTGCTTGTTATTGTGTTGTACCATCTCTTCAGTGCTGTGTGTTTCCTCTGTCTTCCTAGTGTCTATGTTTCTTGATTTCCAGTTTCCTGATACCTTACTTTTTTAGCTTCTAGTTATTATGCTAGAGTTTGAGTTCTCTACAGCGCAAGCTTGTTTAATTCATCCCTCTGTGTCCTGCAAGTCCTGCATTTGGCCCCTATTTCCTTCCTTCCACACAGCTGTAGCCTTCACACACACAGTTACTGAATTTGACTCATTTAAAATTTTAAAGGTAAACAAATTAATAACCACTGACCAAATTTTAAAAAAGCAAAGCAAAACAAAAATAATAATAATAATGATAAAAACCGCATTACAATCCTTAAATCTTCAGATAAAATGAACTGTTTTCATTCAGTTTTATTGTATATCTATGTAAAAAATGAAATATTTCTAATGCTCTGCTTTTTCCTTTAAATGTGGTGTCATATCATAATAAAAATTACTTGAAATGTGTATTGAAACAGAAAACATAAACCTACAATATATTTTTCACTACAGTTAACATTTTAATAACAGAACGGTGGTTTCTAGAATATATTTTTCATTTCATTATTGTTTTAATCCACAAAACTTCTTTTAGTTCTTTAAGAAAATGTCTTACAGTGAAATAAATACAACTAAATCATCTTTTTTTTTTTACACCTTGAATCCTGTCTGGCAGCTTTGGCAATCAGAATTATGATCTCAGTGTCAGTCACTGTCATTTATTCAGCACCAGTGAAACACTGAAATGGTTTAACTGTAAATAATAGCAAGAATAAAACAAAGCAGATCACAACAAAACTTGTACCATGACTTCATATATTTAAGTATGTTTGCCCTTTATGTTTACCTGGTTGTTGAATGTCCCTGACAGGCAAAGATGAAGACAAAGTGGCTACAGGACAGCAGCCCTGAATCCCTCCAACACCCTCCCGAAAAAACGTATTGGACCACATTTGGTGCTCTGCTGGCGAGAAGCTCCAGCCCTCAGCCTTCCACCTCTGGCTTCCAACATGGACGACCGAAGGCTGCCAATCAAGAGGTGAGT